ACTTGATGAAACCTGTCTCCCTTCGTTTTCCTCTTCTGCTGGCTTTCAACTGTCCACTGTTTATTATTTTTTGTTTTTGTATCGTTTTATTCCGGTGCTTTATTTTCATGTCTTATTTTAGCTCTCTTTGTCTCTCTGTCTTTTCTTTCCACTGTCTGTGAACGCATCTTCCACTGTCTGTCTTGCTCTCCTTCCTTCCATCCACAGTTGCTCGCACACACTTGTACTGTCAGGCTATCCTTACCCAGCTACTATGTGCCATACATCTGTCTGTGTCTCCTGTCAACCTTAAGTTCCCGGCTGCTCGGAACCGGTTACTCCTACCATCTCAGTGTCCCCTTGTTTCTCGGTCCCTCCTCTCCTGCTCCTCTACCAAGAACTGCTTCTCCATATTTACTATTAATTGTTCAAGTCCACATTTCGTCATTTGCGAACAAAACTTAGGCGCCTTAAGCTGTATAACAGTCGCCCTCAACTCGTCAACTCGACTGTAATTCTTAATCCTAATTATGCTCTCTGTACCCTCTTTTGCTTTTGCTACTTCTGTCTGCCAAGAAACGTTTGCTTAATTTTTTTGTATTGTTTGATTTACTTTCTCCTATTTTTCTTGACTCTCATATATTTGTATCCTCCTGTCTTTATCTTCTCACTGTGCTTATTTGCATTCCAGACACCTGTCTTCTGCTCAGGCCAATGGCTTTCATTCCATAACCATCATATCTGTATAGTCAAAGCAAAACCTAAAACTACTTTCTCCGGTGATAGTCTGATTTCGTAGTAGCTCTACCGTTTCATCATTCGCTATGCACGTGTTGGAACCCCCCCCCCCATTCATAGAAAGCTCCTTAGTGTCTCAAAAGCACCAGTCATTATGTGCCTTTGCACTGTTATGCCTGTATCATCGACAATACTAACCAAAACCTAACTGCATTTAATACACCAAAAACCCATACATTTGTTTCACCACCACCACCACACAGTATGACTCACACGTGACTCCAACCAACCAACCATGTCTGCTTGTGACTTAATAATGCTACTCTTGGACGATAAAAATGTCGTTCTTTCCTACTGCAGTATCTTACCATTACATTTCACTCTTTCCTTTCTGCAGAATGGGGTGCAAAGTTTTGTCCCAAGGCGTATGTACCTCTCACTTCACTCCCGCTGTTGGATTTCCTCTCTATCTATCTCTCTATCTGAGCTACGCCAGCCTGTTCACCTGTCTTCTCACCCACGTCTACAAACTTCGTATGTTCTCCTCTGCTTCTGATCTTACCACTTACGCTTGTCCAAAGTTCATACGTCCATTTACGCCATCCTATACGTATCCTTCACCACGTTCTTAGCGTTTGGCTGCGGCCTTAGGACATGAGTACGGTCGTAGAACGCATGCGTTAACGCACCAGAACGAGGCTAATAATGCTGTCATCGCCATGATCCCATGAGCCTTTTCAAACGTGACGTCATTGATCTTGCACATCGTCCAGTTCACTCATGTGATTTCGTGCAATAACAAGTCGTCGTCCTGTGCTATTTTCCTTCTTACTTATTTCACAAGTGATCTTCTTTCTCATCTTTATCTATCCTCTATGATTAAAATGCATTCATCCTCGTCACTTGTGTCACTTATTCATCCACTCTTGCTCTCACTGTACATTCCTCTGATCTTGGCTTAGCTAGCTGTTTGATTTTTTTTCTACCACCTCTATTCCACTAACCTTCTCATCTCCTATTTGCAGATGTTGATACTATGGTGTGTGAATGCTGCGCGGCATAACATGTGTTGGCCGCTAGATGGCGCCCGTTTCTCTTCCCCGTGTGATACAGCTCTTGGTGTGTAGACATAGCTTTTCTTCCTTCCTTCTTACCTATCGTCCAGTCTACTTTATCCAAAGTCAGTCCTCGATATAAGTTATCCGCCATTTCACAGCAGGGTTTTCCCCGTACCAAACCCAACCCTAAACTCCATCTACGAACATGGCTCCCTATATTCTCTGCTCCTAGATGCTTTAACTTCCCTTGTCTTACTATCCGAAGCTTCGTTCCAAAGCTATTCACAATTAATGATACTATGTCCACTCCTGAGTTTTTTCTTTTGTTTTCTATGTTTATTTTGTATCGTTTCCCTTCCTCGTTTCTTCCTGTATTCTTTCCCTCCTTCTTTCTTTCTGAAATCCACATCTGGCCGTGGCTCAGAGACGGTAAGGCCGGTCCGAGACCGACACACGGCTGTGGAAAATATGAGGGTATTCAAACAAGCACCAACCAACTTTACTAATGACTATACCTGTGAGCACTAGAATTTCAGCCACTGACCTTTGACTTCCTTTTCTCCTCTGTTGCGTTGCTGGACCGAAGTCCTGACAAACCGGCAGCCATCTTGAATGACGTCACCAGCTGGACTACGGAAGTCCTGACAAAACGGCAGCCATCTTGGATGACATCACCAGCTGGACCATGACGTCATCAGCTGGACCAAGACGTCACCAGCTGGACCATGATTCCTGCACACCTACCTGACGACCAGCATCCATCCAGGCGCCCATCAATGTGTGGTTGGGACGTCGTAAAGGCGGACCTGCGACATTGTACATCCCTTCTCTGCTACACATTTCTTTCTTTTGTGAGGTTTCCATGGAAACACAATTCTTGAAATTTCACGTTTCTGTTATTCCATTCTCATACTCTGTCTCATGCTTTCTAAATTTTACTTGTCAGTCAGCCTGACTTTTCTACCTGACTCCTATCAAACACCTGTATTTACTTCTATCCGATCCATGTCATGACAAACGCTCTATCTGATCCCTAAATTCACTCCTGACCTCTGACTTCAATACTATCTGAAATCTGAATTCACTTCTACCTACCTGACTTCTGACTTCACTTCAACCTGACCTCACTTCTGTCTGAAATCTGACTTCCCCTCAACCTGACCTCTGACTTCACTTCTATCTGACCTCTGACTTCACCTCTATCTGACCTCTGACTTTACTTCTATCCGACCTCTGACTTCACTTCAATCTGACCTCTGACTTCACTTCTATCTAACCTCTGACTTCACTTCAATCTGACCTCTTACTTCATTTCTATCTGACCTCTGACTTCACTTCTATCTGACCTCTGACTTCACTTCTATCTGACCTCTGACTTCACTTCTATCTGACCTCTGACTTCACTTCTATCTGACCTCTGTCTTCCTTTCTGTCTGACCTCTGACTTCACTTCTATCTGACCTCTGACTTCCCTTCTATCTGACCTCTAACTTCCTTTCTGTCCAACCTCTGACTTCCTTTCTGTCTGACCTCTGACTTCCCTTCTACCTGACCTCTGACTTTATTTCTATCTGACCTCTGACTTCACTTCTGTCTGACCTCTGACTTCACCTCTATCTGACCTCTGACTTCCCTTCTACCTGACCTCTGACTTCATTTCTATCTGACCTCTGACTTCACTTCTATCTGACCTCTGACTTCACTTCTCTCTGACCCCTGACTTCACATCTCTCTGAACTCTGACTTCACGTCAATCTGACCTCTGACTTCACTTCTATCTGACCTCTGACTTCACCTCTATCTGACCTCTGACTTCACATCTTTCTGAACTCTGACTTCACGTCAATCTGACCTCTGACTTCACTTCTATCTGACCTCAGTCTTCCTTTCTGTCTGACCTGTGACTCCCCTTCAATCTGATCTCTGACTTCACCTATATCTGGCCGCTGACTTCACTTCTGTATGACCTCTGACTTCACTTCTGTCTGACCTCTGACTTCACTTATATCTGACCTCTGACTTCCTTTCTGTCTGACCTCTGACTTCACGTCTATTTGACCTCTGACTTTAGGTCTATCTGAAATCCGACTTCACTTTTATCTCCCTAAACTCTGACCTGTCTCTGAACTCTACTTTCTCTATAAACTCTGACCTCTCTCTGAACTGTGATTTCCCCCTGAACTCTGACCTCTTTCTGAACTGTGATTTCTTCCTGAACTCTGACCTTTCTCTGAACTGTGATTTCTCCCTGAATTCTGACCTTTCTCTGAACTGTGATTTCTCCATAACCTCTGACGTCTCTCTGAACTATGATTTCTCCATGAACTCTGACCTCTTTCTGAACTGTGATTTCTCCCGGAACTCTCACCTCTATCTGAACTCTGATTTCTCCCTAAACTCTGACCTTTCTCTGAACTGTGATTTCTCCCTGAACTCTGACCTCTCTTTGAACTGTGATTTCTTCCTGAACTCTGACCTTTCTCTGAACTTTGATTTCTCCCTAAACTCTGACCTGTTTTTGAACTGTGATTTCTCCCCGAACTCTGACCTTTCTCTGAAATGTGATTTCGTTCCCATTTCTGACCTTTCTCTGAACTGTGATTTCTCCCTAAACTCTGACCTCTCTCTGAACTGTGATTTCTCCCTGAACTCTGACCTCTTTCTGAACTGTGATTTCTCAAGGAACTCTCACCTCTATCTGAACTGTGATTTCTCCCTGAACTCTGACCTTTCTCTGAACTGTGATTTCTCCCTAAACTCTGACCTTTCTCTGAACTCTGATTTCTCCCTGAACTCTGACCTCTTTCTGAACTAAAATTTCTCCCTGAACTCTGACCTTTCTCTGAACTGTGATTTCTCCCTAAACTCTGACCTCTCTCTGAACTGTGATTTCTCCCTAAACTCTGACCTCTCTCTGAACTCTGATTTCTCCCTGAACTCTGATCTTTCTCTGATCTGTGATTTCTCCCTAAACTCTGACCTCTCTCTGAACTGTGATTTCGCTCTGAAGTCTGACCTCATTTCTGAACTGTGATTTCTCCCTGAACTCTGACCTTTCTCTGAGCTCTGATTTCTCCATAAACTATGACCTCTCTCTGAACTGTGATTTCTCCCTAAAATCTTCCTATGTCGATCTGACACTTCAATTCATTAAACAGACGTCATCCGTCTTTCTTAGCTATGGAAACCCCGTCTGTACTTTCTTGACTGTATCCTCACTTGTCACAGTCCGACGGTCGTTTAACTTGCCTCCCAATCCTTCACACATTGATGGCGTCTGGAAAAAGAGATGGGCTCTAAACTACAAAAGGTTTGTAACTTTCTTTTGTTCACGCTCTACTTGTGCAGGAGGAAATGTAAAGCAAACGTTGAGGCAATGCCCGATGATGACAGAACTGTTGTGAGGTTGTCGACACAAGATGGCGATGTTGTCTTCACCTCTCTGCTTTCTTTCCTCCACTCTCGCTAGCTTATAAGCTTTTCTCCGAAACTTCTCGCTACCTCCTTTACACTTCCTCAAACTTCACTCTCTTCTTTCCTCCTATCTCCTCTCTCTCTACTGCTCTACCTTTTCTCCTGATCTTTTCTCTTCTTGCTCTCTTCTTGAACTTCTTCTCTCATCTATAAGCTCCAACTTGTTATCTTCTATCTTTCTCTTGAGACCTTTCTAGAACTTCTTCCTACTTGACTCTCCTTCTGACGCTCTTGTAGCTGGTAGATTCTCAAAGTGTCTTCACTTCGTGCTCTCACCAGTGCTCTCCTTTCCCGACTTTGTTCCTTCTGCTCAGTGTCTAGTGACTTAAACCTGAATGTGGTCACGTTTCCGACTTTTCGCTTCTATTCTCTTTCGCTTAACTACTTGTTTTCCGACTTTCTGCGATGCCTTTTGATCATTCACAAATCTGGAATAATGAAGTTGACCTTTAAACCGCTCTCTCAGCCCTCCTTGTGTGTTATCGGTAGCCATCTGTGCATGTGTCGAAACTCCGGTGATGTTCACATCATTATCAAATCTGAGGGCACGTCAGACAATGAATCTACCGGATTGTAATTGTTTATAACTTATTGTTTATTGAAAACCAAAACCCCTGGCTATTATAACTGTTTTATGCCATAAAACTTCCAAATGTTTACTTTTCTCTATTTTCTTAATATAAAAATATCTGGAAAAAATTATTTGCCTGATAATTTCATTTGGTGAAGCTTGCTAGTGTATGATTAAGTATAATTATCTGATTTATACGTTATTTCGTCTTTCTTTCTTTACCTGAATCTTTCTTCTTTTTTCGTGCTCAAACTTCTCAGATTTGACTGTCGAGACTTGACGGAGATGCCAAGAACTGGACGAGTCGCAACCTGACGTTTAGATTGCTGAAGATTCCGATGTGGAATCTCTCTCCTAGTCGGAAGGGATATTGAGCTCATTTTTCCCTATGAAATAGCTTAAGTTTGTAATAAAACGACTGAGACTGTGATCTTCCACATACGAGGCTGGAATCAGAATTGTACCATAGCACTTAAAAGAAAGATAGTTTTATGTCATGTATGTACATATTATTGAATGACATAGAGATATTTGAGAACGTTGAATTGTTGAAGTAGCTTTTGTACATTTTCCATGACTATATTTGCTACTGCATCTCTGTCGTTGCACGCATGTGGGGTTTATATACCAGATCAGTCTGATATTACGTATATCGTATCAAAATCCCAGCAACATATTTCCATGTTACGTAGGTTTGTATGGTAATAAAATGATACCGATGCTACGGACACATTTCCTTGTTCAGTATTGATGGATCCGGAGTCATTAATAGTATTAATAATCGTGAGAAACGGAGAAATCTGTAGACCGTCTTGAAACACCACAAGAGCCCATGAACATAACACGCCCTTACCCATATCATTGACTGCGATGTTTGCGACCTCTTCTGGCAACAGTAACAGTTCTTCAATTACACAAACCATCCAAATAACCCTCCTAAATTGTTGACCTGTGAACTGATAAACCCCTACCCGATATTGTCACCTCTCTACATCACGTCATATTACGTCACATTACGTCACATTACCCTCTCGTGACCTGTGATTTTGACACGTCGTCCTCTCGTTACGGCTGTTTTGTCACACTGTATCATTGCTGCTTCTCTTTGCCACTCTGGTTTGTCACATTGACTCTTGATCTGTTACTCCGTGAGTCTCCTCGTTACTAATACCTGGCTTCGGGAGGCGGCTGGAAAGAGTAGAAATTGGCCAAACAGAGAGATAACGTGGCAAACTGTACTCTCTAGCAGACCAACTCCCCTGGTATGTTATTTGTCAATTTGGCCAATTTCTACTCCTTCCAGCCGCCTGCCGAAGCCTGGTAGAGGCGAAAATACTTTTGTTACTAGGCCCGAACCTCAACCAGGCTTCAAAATGGCTTGAAATAGTACCAATTTGCCAAATAGACAACTAATCATGATACGACAAACTACTCCTTTAGCGGACGGCCAATTTGTATGACATGTTATGTCGTGTCTCAGCAGCTTCATTGGAGAGCAAAGCTTTGATTGGAGAGAATTGGCGTCGAAACTGTGGGGTTAGCGACAGAGACCGAGATTTGAGAGGTTGAAACGACCAATTTCTAGCCAATAGAAGCGCTTTCCTGAATCCTCATCTGACCTTTTTCGATTACAGTTTGACATCGTTATCGTCGGCATCAATGCCGGAAACTAGTCACACACAACAGGGCACAATTAGGGTTTACGGGGGGCGATTTAGCTGGTGTGTTACGCCGAAGGGCGGTTATACCAGCTATACAGATACAGATAAGGTCATATATCTTATTCTCATTCACTCAGAATTATCTCCACATTTTAGCACGTTTTCGAGATTAAAATATATTTGTTGAACATCGCAGTGGCGGTACTACTGATTTACAATCAATTCACAATTATTGAGGTTGAAAACTATTACGATAACATAAAATAATGCGCATTACTAGCCTTTAAGCAGTGTCGTCCTTTATATTAATAGGTGCAATGATTAAAAAAGCATAGCATTTCATAAGTACATACAATGTACATGCAGCAAAACATTCGATTGTTTCAATACAAGATATTTACATATGTAACATATCGTGTCCAAGACTCAAGAATTATTTATTGGTCATTCGCAGCTAGTAAACTTAAAGTACATGTTACTGAATTGCGAATCAATGAACATTTTAAAAATCCAAAAGTTTATACTATTGCACATAATACAGAATCATTAGGAAGTCTACATAGACCACAATAATTGCACATACTACAACCTACACCACAACAGTTAAAAATTACGAGTAGAGGTCCGCCGGGCCCCAATTGCAACCCGCTGCACCTCATTATCTGAAGTAGATATACTGATACGTGAAGCGTGCTTAATGTTTGTTTGCTCGTAAAACGCGCAACAGGCCATTTAACTGTCACCTGATAGCTCGTCAACAATTGTCTGTGGTCACGTGACAGCCACCTTGCTGATTAACGTCACATCGCGTTACTGTCACGATGTGCACCACGGGAAGGTCACGGGAAACTCCTATGGGAGACCTTAGGGGGGCCTTCGTCCTTATTTTGTCTTGGCCCGTTGAACTACACCAGGGTGATATGTCCTTAGAAATAACAATACTAGTAATATTTCATCATTCTTTTAAACGTACGTCTAAAAAGCAGTCATCTAGACTTGATCAATCAGTTTGCATTAATATAATTATGAAAATAACAATAATCTTAACGATAATAATCATGAAAATTACAAAAATTATACGGCTGGCAAACAGGTTGGTAATACAATCAAGAACAGAAAATGATTTTTTTAACTATACTAAAATGATTTTCTGGAAATAATTTCCAAATGAGAAATGAATGTATGTAAACAAAAGATATGTCAAGTCTGACAGTCAAGATTGGAATGCTAGCCTGCATCCGCCATGGTGTATCGAGATTCCTGGGAACCCCCTGTCACACCCTCTGTTGTCCCACCTGACGACGGTAGAGGCTGAGGCGGTGTGTAGCAGGAGCTGCTCGGGCTAGCGGGCTCCCATGACCGTACAGCGGGGGAGGTGTGTGTGAGCCATGGAGAAAACCATACCTGCACTTCTAGCTGCTTCTCAATGGGAGGTGAGTTACAGTTAGAACTGCTTAAACTGGGGAGTAACTGTCAAATCATCTGTACATCTCGCTAGGGGTGTTACGTCGTGTCAGAGCCAAAGGATATGTCCAAAGGATATGTCTCAAGGGGGCTCAAAGTATTGTCACTTTGAAGACACCGCCTTTAGAACACATTCGGAAATTCGATACTTCGTACGTAGTTCGTAAATTCGAACATTCGAAGATTCGATAATTCCATGCAGACATTCCATCATATATACAAACTACGTGTACACAAAATGTCGGCTTGGCTTGGAAGGGTAATGTCAGGATGACACACCTCAAATGATGATAGTAGGCCTGACACTTCTGTTGTATTTGTGCAGTGAATTATGAATGACTGGTGTCAAAACTGAAGTGAACAACGTGTGACTGAAATGAACATCGATAATAGGGTCTACATGTACATGTATGTATTGTTCGCAAGCGCTGTACCAAATACTTTAGAAAACAATGGAACAAGATAGAAAATCATACCTTGTTCCTAGAGGCCATGGAGTCATGAAAAAGTAAAGCATTAAAAGAAGATGGTACATCTGATAAACCTCGTTTTACAGAGCTTGATCTGATGCTATCCATCATGAGATAACAGAAGTGTAATGTCCTTGATAACAGTGATATGCACACCACGGACATAAGAATAACTACATGTTACAGCACGAGTAGAATATTGCGAAATATAAAGTTCAGCCATTTTAATCTTACGACTAAGCTAGACAGGCAGTTCAGCTTCTTTGACCTGTTTTAAGCCACCACATCTGAGACCAGACGGCGACAGAAGGCTGTGTTATTTATTGATGATCCCTCCCGACTATCATGTCGCTGTTGCGTCTCACCACACGGTCCCCTGACCAAACCGCAAAGACGAGTAATTACAAGAGCAACAGGCTATAAAATATTAAAATTTGATAAAGGTCTCATTGAGACCACCAGACGGGATTGTTGTCGGTAAGACCGATTACAAAGGCATACTCGCACGGAAAATGGCTAATGGTACTGTTAAGCTCATTTTCCATGATACAAAGTCATAATCCCCTTTTTGTGTTCGCGCCAGGATGCTCTATTGTACGGGAACAGGGATACATAGTTGTATCCAGAACCGTATTCTATCCAGAACATCCTCAAGCACGGTTCTGGATGGTCTACGTGTATCCAGAACCGTGCCTGGGGCAAATCTACGTTCTTAGATAGACGGAGACTGAACCGAACCGTGCCTGATCCGACCCTTACCCATTCAAGCATGGAGCTAGATGTAGGCACGTGCACGGTTCTGGATACAATAGGGACTTTCTTTGAAAAGTAGCGATGACAATACAGCAAGGTTATGGCAATAAAGACATGACACCAGACAAGGGATCACGCGTCCGGAAAACGCAGTTCAATCCGCCGTTTGTTCACGTATCTTTAGTAACGGCTGTAAAGTCACCAACCCTTCATGTAATATTCATGACGCACGTGTTTGGTTTTCATTTCTACTATTTGAGACGATTTCGTCGCAAAGAAGGAAAAGGAATTGAGCCATTCAAAGACATTCTTGGTGCTTTTGTAGATGAGTATGTTGCTAGAGTAAGGATACATGGCAAATTTACTTTCTCAACCTTTCAAAACACCTTGCAACTGCCTCTTGCAAAAATACATATCTGTCCGTAAGAGCCATTTAAGAGCCTAACAGCAAGAAATGTAGTCTAGTCGGGTAGATGAATGTGAACTATTCTCATGATTCATCGCTTCCAAGGCGCCTGCACAACCTGTTGAGCAGAACCGCTATTTCTAGATTGATGTACTTCAGTGCAGGTTATCCAGGCCTGCCAAGACCTGCCAGGTCTTCTGAATCAAACCCAGACGTCTAAAAACCCGTTAAGCCCTCCTACACACATTCAGAGTCTAGACATATTCACTTCTTATCTTGTGAGTTGGAACGAAACGTTACACATTCGGCTAGTCCAAGATCAGGGTGTACCAGTGGCATCTTGCAATGTTATATCATTCTAACTAAATATTAATTGCATTCTGTTGAATTTTTTTTAAACAAATGATCTAAATAGTATTGTCCAAATAATCCTGAGGCTTTTTGATAGATAGATGCTCAAAACATTAAGCTAGGACCAATTGTTCTAACGAAAATTTACATAAACATTATGCATATGTTATACTGTTGCACTTAAAAATAGGCAATCTTTTAAATAAGCCATCAGGTAAAAAGCATCATGCATGGTATCACTTGTAGTACATTTTTCTGTATTGAAAGTGTGAAAATGTGAAACTTGAAAAATCAGCCGAAAGGCAACACCCTGATCTTGCCGACTGTGAGTGCAAAAGTGTGCCATCACTATGTATATAGATGAAAGCTGGCGCCATGAATCCGGCCTTCCCACGTCCATAACATAGAACTGTTATTGATTTTGGTGTTGCCCGGCGAATATATCTTACTGAAAACCTCTTCTTGTTCACACCGAGTTGGTTTTCATCATGTATCTAGATCTACACTAGGAAAGTATCTACACATAAACAAGACAGTGTAGAAACTGCTATTCATTTGTCATAAGTACAGAACGTTACGTTAGATGAAGGAAAAATTTCCTTTGTGTCCAAAAATGCAAGTTTCTTGTGGCTTTGCAACTTTGCAACTTTGTTGAATTCATTGCCCAACTCTTGAGGCACGCAAGCGATGGGAAAACATGATTTCCAAACAAGGACGAAGATAGACCGATCGCAGATGTTACATACAATATGAAATAAATAGAGTGCACGCATGTGTGTATGTGTGTGTACGTGTGTGTGTGTGTGTGTGTGTGTGTGTGTGTGTGTGTGTGTGTGTGTGTGTGTGTGTGTGTGTGTGTGTGTGTGTGCGTGCGTGCGTGTAGCATTCTTTATGTTTTTGTTAGTATTGTAGATTTTAAAATAGATATGTTAATGGTTTTTTTTATACTTGATATCCACAGGTTAAGGGCAGCTAGCCTGGGTTACCGTTACAAATGGATGGCACCCAGGCTACAGGGCAGGAGGCAATGCTAGAAAAATGAAATATAAAGGCTTACTAAGGATTACGATGGTGTATGTCAGACGCTTTTGGTAATATTCGAGCGTGTATTTGATGTCGTATTTTCCAGCGCTGAGTACACATGTTAACGTTATTATATCCCGCTGCCATGTTATATGAACTCACCCAGAAGCTGCAATATTGCCTCAGCATACCAACAATTTTACGAGGATTTAATTACAAGCCTCTCGCCTCCTGCTGAGCGAAGGCAATATGTAATACAATAGGCTGGTTCACGTCGATAAAATATGACTCGTTACCTCCATGAAAAATGGAGGTATTGTTTTTGGCGCGCTGTGTGTGTGTGTGTGTGTGTCAGTGTGTCTGTCTGTGTGTGTGTGTGTGTGTGTCTGTCTGTCTCTGTGTGTGTGTGTGTGTGTCATGTGCGTGTGTGTGTGTGTGTGCGTCTGTGTGTGTGTGTGTGTGTGTGCTTCTGTGTGTGTGTGTGTGTGTGTCTGTCTGTCTGTGTGTGTGTGTGTGTGCGTGTGTTTGTGTTTCCGCACATTTGTAGTCAGCATAACTTCATAACGCCTTTATGGATTGTGATGATATTTGGTATGTTGGTAAGTCTTAGGAAGACAAAGGTCAAGGTCAAATATGGGCCTCCTGGTGAATGACCTTGTTGGGTATATTTTTCAGTTGGTTGCAGCGGCGTACTGTCTGAAGTACAACTACAACTCACTAAGCGGGACTTATGTGGCAACCTTCGTGTAGTAAGTCTCTTTTTTTATATTTGTAAAGAAGTCTAATGACATTTTCCATCTTTGTTCTTCGTGCAATATCTAACAGACATTTGTCATACTAGGTGGCTTTAAATATAGATAGCCCAAACCCGACTTAATTCCCCAAAACACACATCGACAAGGTATTCAAAAGTTACAAGTGATGCAAGAAACACACCGGTGGACAAAAGGACTTAAGTTGCATGGACACCGATAACAACCACATCTGCACGTTCATAACCCCTACAAGAGCCTCTGCAAATCACCCACAGGTTATTAGTACTTACCACAAACACCTATTCATTTGGATTACATCCTATTTCATCTGGGCTGTTCTGTGGGTGTGTACGTCTGTGTGTCTGTTTGTGTTCGTAGGTATTTGAATGCAGGAATGGCAGCCTGTATATGCATGTCACATACACAATGTCACATGAAATATGTCTATTATTTTTCACAGTCACTGCACACATTACCTTATCTATCCATTACCAGAGCTCCTTAAACAGAATTTTAATGCCATCATGTAGGATGCTTATACAGTAATACTTAAATGCTCGGGGTATGAAATACTGTCATTAGAAACACAATAACACCCAACCTTTCCCTCAACACGCATCTCATACTTTCCCTAGTCTCCCCCAGGCCTTCCTACGGGGGTACGGATAGTAGAATTCGGTATAAAAGGAAAGAATAGTTGGCCAGGAGAGTCAGTCTGCTGGAAGGCTAATTTCCCCCTCCGAAGCTTGCTATTGAACTTTACAAGAACCAAAAATCTTAATTAATCTCACTATTGGCAAAAATGTACTGTTTTTAACCTGCGATGTTATTCTGGTAGAGACTAATGTTTCCCGAACACGATTCTCACAGAAACCTGCCCTACTGTACACATTTCACTGTTTTTGAACCCGCGGAGTTAGTCTGGAAGAGACTGACGTTTCCCCAAGGAGCTTTAATTTCTTTCCTTGGTTTCCCGAACACGATTCACACAGAAACCTGCCCTCCTGTACCGTATGTCTTCATAAATAATGCACGCCGCCCCATCGCTCCGGCGGCGCTAATTAGTTTACACAATTATCCTGCAAACAGTTTCGTTACGGGGTCGCCTGGGTTCCCGGGTAATGCTGCCGTTAAACGGAAGGTAACTTAATTTCTAAGACGGTGTAAAAATTACTTTCGTTCTTAATCACACATATCTTATCTTGGACCCATTTCAAGAAAAAATGTAGATCTTATTTAATTTTGAGTACTGGTATGTTCTAAGAAAAATATAGGAGGGGCTTGTTGTATTCAGAGCCGTACTTTATCCAGAACCATGCTCAGACACGGTTCTGGGTAGGCCTCGTGTATCCGGATCCGTGCCTGTGGCAGATCTACGTTCTTGAATACACGGCGGCCATCCAAAACCGTGCCTGATCCTAACTAGGGCTGCGGACCGGTACACTGTACCGGTCCAATACCGTAAAAATCGTTTCGGTACAGGTCCAAAATACCGGATCATGAAGTAACGAGTATATACCGAAATAGCTAGTTTACACCATGTATATGACTAAAGATAGGTAAATCCTACCACAAAGACGAAAAATTAGCACTGGAAAAGACGTAAACACCGTCGATTGATTTGAGATCCTCAGTCTCACGAGACATCGCGAGAGTGTGGCTGATCCAGGGTTGTGATTGGTCAACAAACTCAAATCAGGTCAGAGGTCAGTCATTTTCCCTTCCCTCCAACACTTTATTATTGTTTCTGTGTCATGATTGAAAAAGTGAAGAACACGTGTTAATTTGTCAAATTGTTCAGGTACAGGTACAGGTCCGGACCTGTACCTAAACCTCTGTACCAGTACCTGTACCTGTACCTGATGTTACGTTTAGGTACGCAGCCCTAATCCTAACCCATCCAGGCATGGAACTAGCTGGCACGGGTCTGGATACAATAGGGCATTTGGTAGGTTCATTAGCTTGGGTGACGGCCTTGTATTCACACAAAAGAACATCCAGGGATGTTGTGTGTGCCCATCTTCAAAATTGTCATGTGATATTCCCCATATTCATTATAGATTGTTGCTATTTCAGAGAAGGGTATTGTCCTCTTTGTGTCTCTCTTGGCTTGACATTTGTAGATTGGACCTGGTTTCATATCGATATCATATGTCAGCCAATGTCATCTCCATGGGCGTGAGGCTACCCATTCTAAACTACTACTGCATTTAGTATGCGAGAAATATTTAGAGGGAGGGGGTCTCTTGGAATTGGGTGGTAGTACCCCCACCCAACCTGATTTCAAAGTCCAATATTTTGGACCCATTTTTTGTGTGCTCAAATGTTTTCTTTCTTTAAACATCGTCGTCCATTCCTTTCTCCTGTGACCACCTGGTACCGGTACCATTCCTGCAAATTAACAACTTCAGGTTGTATTGGGCTATTGAGTGCAAAATGCACTAATCCCTGATTCTGTAGACCTTTCCTGGTCGAACGCTATAGTCCCCGCCCCCTGTTCTATTTCGAACACGTCGAACCCCCTGTTCTTTTTTTCTTCTATTTCGAACACGTCGAACCCCCTGTTCTATTTCGAACACCTCCGTCGAAATCATCGCGGGAACGTATTCGAAATAGAACAGGGGGTTCGACGTGTTCGACTGGGAACGGTGCATTACTGTGGAAAGATAGAAGAACACATAACGCAAATGTCGACACTGTGATTTTCCTTGGGCAGGTACCATGTATTTACTCTATCGTATTGTGAAAGTGTTACGCTACGCAAAGCGTGTAATTAGTCGCTTACAAAAGGGAGATAACCGAGGCTTTTCCTTTCTATGGTAGATAGGTTTACGCAAAGTGAAGTGGGGGAAAGATAAGATAGTAGCTATATATTAAGTGAACCCTTCTACACCTATAGAGATGCTGTTTTTCAGAGATACACTATCTTGAGATCCAAACGATACTACAAATGGATTCTTATTGTCGAAAGTAGCTCTGAGACCAGGATATTCGTCTGAATACCTTCACCCTCTCCCGATGAGTGAGATTTTACAAGTGCTTGTAATGTATGTAATTTGTGATTTATATAATCTCCCCCACCCAAATGACGTTTGTAGTCCGACGACGTAGACTCGCCCTGACAGGACATGTAGTTCGTTGTAACAAACCAGCTGGTAGACTAAACCAGTGGTTCCCCACTGGGAGACGTAGAGTGGAATGACCACATACTACACGTTTGTCAATGTTAGAGAGAGACGCTGGTCTCGCAGGGACTGCTCTAGTGTCCGCCATGAGGGACAGGGGGTACTGGAGTAACTTTATCAAGTGTACCTCACCGGATTAAAATCCGGAGGCATGATTATGATGATATTATATTTGTGTCCGTCAGTTGTAGTACGCGGTGCTGTGGTGAGGAGAGAACATGTTGTGCAGAGGACCCGACGCTCTACAACAACGTAGTCAACGTTTGGTACTTCTGGTACGTTTATTTCCATGTTTATAACATGTTTTGTTTCTTGTTTGAGCCTTTGTTTATTCATGAAATACTAAAATCTGCCTGCGGGGCCAACTTTCCCCTGAGTGAAGAGGTCATGGCCAGAAAAAATAGAACAAGATGCCAGTTAGAGGAAATGTGAAACCGTAGAAATTGGCAAAAGGATCCCAAGGGAATTGGTCCGCTATACGAGTACAGTTTTTGAACGGCAAACTGTGCATGTTAGCGGGCAAACTCTAGCCTCTACCAGGCTTCGAGAGAATGTTCTCTCTAGCAGACCAACTCCCTCGGCATGTTATCTCTCTATTTGGCCAATTTCTACCCTTTCCAGCCGCCTCTGAAGCCTGGTAGAGGCTACGTTGCAATGCCATTGACGCTTGAATGGATGAAGGTATTGAGGTGTGTATTATAGAAGTAAACATCAGCTAAGAGCTGTTTTTGCTTTCTTCCGTCCCTTCTCCAGGGCCATTGTTGTAGTCGCCTTGTTCACGCTGTGCCTGGCCGTGATCGCCGCGTGCTGCAGATGGAAGCACGGCTCCGGCCGGACCCGCAGACGGACCCGGGTCAGGACGATTAACATCGCGCCCTCAGGTACGGCAACGGTTTTTTGGGTAGCCTGGAGTAGCGCTTGTGGGGTAGCGGATCTCGGGGAGCGGACAGAAGCTAACAAGGCTAGACTCCAGGCTACACTTTGTATTTGTATATACAAGTGGCCAAAGTTGGTCTCAAAATCTTTCCGTCCAATGTCTCCTTTTATGAACCTGATCAATGTACGGTCATGTTCGATCTGGATAATTCGAACTGAAAGCTTGTTCCATTTGGGTTTCCACCTGTGGTCACTTACACCGCACATCTATACATATCGCTCCCTCAGGTAGGTGTTGTATCTAGAATGGCGCTTTATCCAGACCATGCCCAGTTTGGATAGTCCACGCGCGTTTTAGCCTGTACATTAGGTATCTGTCCTTGGTGCTGAAAATAGCCTTCCGTTGTGTAAATAAGTAATGTATCCAGAACCGTGCCTGTCTAGTCCTATGCCTGAATGGATTAGGATCAGGCACGAGTTTGGATACTCCACGCGTATCCATAACCGTGTCTGGGGCAAACCTACGTTCGTTGATACACGGAGACTGTCCAGAACCTTGCCTGACCCTAACACTAACCCGTTCAGGCATGGAACTGGACAGGATCTGGATACATTACTAATTTGCACAACGGAAGGCTATTTTCAGCACCAAGGACAGATACCTAATGTACAGGCTAAAACACGTTCAGGCATCGTTGCAATAGTCTAGCCTCTACTAGGCTTCAGAGGCGGCTGAAAACAGTAGAAATTGGCAAAATAGACAGATAACATGCCAGGGGAGTTGGTCCGCTAAAAGAGTACAGTTCGCTCTTTCCGTCACCTTTGAAGCCTGCTAGAGGGTGGGCTATCACAACAATGCCTGATCGTGTTTTACCCTGTACATTAAGTATCTGTCCTTGGTGCTGAAAATAGCCTTCCGTTGTGGAAATCAGTAAGGTAAAACCTAGTTCCATGCCTGAATGGGTTAGGATTTATATATAGGGTTTTTATACAGCTAGTGTAATACTGTATAAAAAGTAAAGGACTTAAACGCTGACATGACGGCATTTCTTATTATTCTGTCCAGATGAGAGGCCACAGTCACAAGCGCCTACCACCACCTCCACGCCTGGAACGGCGGACAGGACGACCCTGCCTCAGTTCAGCTTCTCCCTCCCCGGCGCGCCCCCGCCATACTACCCGGCCTCGCCGCCTCCGTCGTACGAGGAGGTCTGCAGGCAAAGTACGAGACAGCCGAAAGATTCGGAGGAAGCGGAGGCGGACACAGAACGTAGTAATCCGGGATGACCTCCGAGTTTTCAGTCTGAAATTTACCCTTAGCAGGCTTTAGAAGCGGCTGGAAAGAGTAGAAATCGGCCAAATAGATAATATTCTAGCGGTAGTTGGGACCTGCATGCACACAAACTGTCTGGTGAGAGACAAATTTATAATTTGTTTAGGAACTTTGAAAACCTTTTTGGGGGTCATTTTGATAGTGACTGGTATAGTGTAGGGTTTTGAGTAAATGTTTTGCCCCCAACATGGATTCTTTTCCATGTATGGCCTTGTTGGCTACATCCCTCTTGCTGCTGGTCTGTTGGAATCGCCCTGGAACAGGGGGTCAAAGTTGACCAATGTTTACCAAACCGGCAACACTAGTATCTCTTGAAAGGATTTCCCACAAAGACTTGGCCTAGCCCATGAAGGTGAGTTTTAATATGTGACCAGAAATCCTAAAAAGTGAGATTTGATGTACTTGTTTTGCCTGTTTTTGTATAGGTTTAAAATTATACGTACGTAGGACCAACTATACATGTAGCAATAGAGTCCACATTCTAGGTTAGTTATTCCGCCAAAGAAGTACAGTTTGACTGTACTCCTTATATTAGCGGACAAACTCCCCCGGCATGTTATCTGTCTATCGGGCCAATTTCTACTCTTTCCAGTCGCCTCTGAATCCTGGTAGAGGCATCGTCGACAGTTTTAATATGTCGAAGAAAATGTAAATGTTCTTTTTATGGGTCGCCATATTGATGATGATACATGTATACTGCGCCCTAAGGAAGAGATCTGGTTTTGTTGCATTGGTGTGTTGTTTAAAACTAAAACAATCCTTGAAATTATAACGTTTATATAGAAATCTCTTGGAAGGATTCCTTTGGAAGTGTGCCCATTTTTACTTGGGTGTCTAATATGTCTTGGTCTCTGCATAATTCATAAAGATATTAATATTGCTAAAGTTGTTCATTACCGTGCCATATGTACATGTTTTAATGAGAGAGATTACATCCATCTAGCTCTATTATAAAATTACATTCTCTTAGGTAAGATTTCTTTTCACTATATTTACAGCATAGCATATCTTCAATTTATGTTTAAAATTAATGATAAATTACGTTATAACGACTTGTTGTAACAAAACTTTACGCAGCGAATGAAAGTTTTCACAGCATAATCTTTATTTACACAATGAAAATGTGTATAGAACTGTACTTCAATAGAAAAACAAAACATCAAAAGATACATTTTCTCTTAAGCTTTACAGAATACTGTCCTTTTCCAGTGATGCCTTTTCCGGTGTCACAACACATATAGAGAAGAATCTGTTATTTAATACCAGTAGAAAATAATTTTAGTAACTGTGGTCCTTCTTTCCTTTGTATTTTGTCTTACGTTTGAAACAGCCTTATAACATCAACATCAAGAGAAGCATGTTAATATATTATGTTGTCAGCAAGATTTCTTTATACAAGTATGTATATTGTTACGGCGTTGGCGTCTTTTCATTAAAATGAACGTTCGTAATTATTTGTTTTCACTGAGGATTACATGTGCGTTGTTATAAAATCTTGACTTGTTACAAAAACCAAATATTAAAAAGCAAGGTATACGGCATAATATAAACAACAGACATCAGCTTTTAAAGTGAAACTTAGATTGAATCTTGTTAACTGACAGCTAACGGCAGGTAAAAGTTATACAGCGCCTCTTGCGACATCATAGCAAACTGCATATAATATCAGTAGCTGCAGTACATTGCCTACTCTGGAGGTACGAAGTCTTTTGGTGGTCCGAAGCGATTTTATATTGCTCAACATATTTGCAACAACAACGGTGACAAAACGTGACGGAGTGGTATTTTTGGTTTGGAATTGCACAGTTCGGTTTACAACAATGAACTATCTTAAAATGCAACGGCTGATATACAACAAGCAATATTTCAGCTACATGTATTTACAATGCTTATCTTAGGCCACACCAATTTAATTTGTTGGTTCTCGGATTTTTTCAGAAAAAATATGAAGCGACAGGGCGAAAAAAATAAAAAATAAAAACAGGTCTAGGCATCCCATTATAGGCTTAAATGCTACGGAATGAGCCATGAAGTCAACACAAAAGGCTGGGTTAAAATTTAAACACTGAATTTCTAACTTTTAATCAAACCACTGCAATGATAGATGGGAAAACTGTAACAACTAGGAAGAAAAGGACTTTCCTCAACTGTTGGGGGCAAAACATGAGCATTTTTCAGATGATTCAGGACCAGAATCAATTTTTTTTTTGCAAATCAGAAAAAAAACGAAGAGGCGAATCCGAGAACCAACAAATTAAATTGGTGTGGCCTTATTTTAGAAGCAAACGTTCTCACTATATCAGCATGATGTCGATAATAGTTTGTTCCAAAACATGATTGTTTTGATTACGAACTTAAACGTCTACTCTTTCTGAGACTACGGATATATTCCCAACAAATCTTGTGTATAGAAACAAAAAAAAGTAAACACAAGCATTTCACCAGTTGCTTGCCTATGTACATTGTGAAACGAGGCTTGTGTACAAAAAAGAGACATAGAGATCGTTATGAAGCAAGTTTAAACTTTAATTTCCAACAAAATAAATTGGACTTACCCAGATGTCCGACTGTACAACTCCATTCCTTGACAAAGACTGGAGTTGTACAGTCGAAAATCAAGACAAGTCCAACTTATTGTGTTGGAAATTGCTTCATAATGACTCGTTTCGTAATGACATCTTAGTCTCTACCAGACTCATTTGCAAGATGAATAAATAGTAGAAATCGGCCTAAAAGGGGGATATAATTGGCCAGAGGAGTTGGCTAGCCAGAGAGGGTCCATCCGTACAGGCGAATTGGACTCTTTTAAGCACATCAACTGCTCCGGCCAATTTTATACCCTTTTTAGGCCGGATCCTACTCTTTATTCAGCCTGCAAAAGAGTCTGGTGGAGACTAATAACTTATACCAACACAGATAAACTCCCGACATTAGATCGGTTTAGTTGTTACCGGTCTTTATCAAACGTGAGCTGTGAGTCTAACCCGAGCCATTTCTTCAGTAGCGCCTTTAGTTCCGTCACAGCCTTCATCCTACCACCAGGCGTGTTCTCGTACAAACACTCGTTCAGAAGACTCGCGAGAGTTCCGTCCTTCTCAATGTCCTCCGGTGGGTCGTGGAGCAGCCCTCCCGGGTTCGGGGACTCTAGCGTCTCGTAGTCCATGTCGCTCATGTTCTTAGCTTCGTCCGTGAGAATCTCGTGACAGAGGAAGTAGTAGGTCGCGCCGATGTGCTTGTAAGGTTGTACGCACGTCTTGTCTTCCTCTGGTTCGTCCGCCTTCACAGTCAAGTCGTAAAAACAGTCCTCATTGCACACCTCCCTTTCCACTAGAAGATCTGTGTGATTTGTGGATAGAAGAAAATATTATTTCATATAATCATTATCATCATCATCGATGACATTATTATTCCATATACATGCTTACGAAAAAAAAAGAGCAATGACTCCTACAAAATACAAAACAAGCCTCTATGGAGCCCAAAATCTAATTATTTCGAGCTCTCATCAAGACCTACCCACCTACGAAATTTCTTGACAATCCATCCATAGCTTCTTGAGTTATCGCGCTTAACCACACACACACACACACACACACACACACACATACATACATACACTACCGAAAGACAACCTACTCGAAGGTAAAAACTTGCATACGTGGTAAACTCTATAGAAGTAAAGTATATGGCTATAACTAACTCTTACGTTTCTCCATTTGGCCTGAGAAACGCTACCTTCGCACAGAGCAGTATGATTGAATAGAATTAGATTAAATGTATAAACAAAAGTAAAATCTTGGACTTCCTTCAGCTGTGTGACGTTACGATGAAACATCGCGCCCTTTTGCTAGTGCCAGGTCTAGACAAGACTTACTACGCCTACACTCCGTGCGTGACTTCCTAAAGTCTCAAAAACTGTCTCTATTTTTACACGTTCTATAGAAATCTTATGCTCTACCAGGTTTCGGAAGGGGCTGGAAAGAGTAAAAATTGGACAAATGGAGAGAAGAAATACCAGGGGAGTTGGTCATTAAAGGAGTGCAGTTTGACAAACTCTCTGTACTCCTTTATCGCACTAACTCCCCTGGCATGTTATCGTCTTCTTTGCCAATTTCCTTTCTTCACTGGCCTCCACCAGACTCCTTTGCAGGCTGACTATATTCCTTCTTAGGCCAATTTCCCCTGTTAAGTCAGCCTGAAAAGGAGTCTGGTGGAGACTAACTCTTCACATCCACCTCTGAAGCCTGGTAGAGGCTATAGAACCTCACCTCCAGGCATGGACGCCAAGTCCAATATCACCACGTCCTCCACATCGATGACGTAGAGCTCCCACTCACTGTTGACCACGATGTTATCATACCCGAGGTCAGTCGGCATGATCACCCAGCCCTGGTCATTGTTCGTCAGCTTGTCTACAAGTTCCAGCACTAGAACATAGATATATTAACCTTAGAACAAGGAGTATCAGTGACACGCCAAAGTCAGCATGCTGATTCGTCCATAGTATTGTGTATTTTGTACCCACCTGTCTGTGGACCCACCTATAGACCTGACGAAAGTCGATGTACTTTTGTTGTGTCAATAAAGTCATTCTATAGTTTATTCATAAAATTCTATTTAAGATATTTCCGCAAATGTAATTAGGACCCGGTTATATACGTCGTCCGATAGCAAAACTGAGGCCATTCTTGGGAGAGCCAAGCATGTGTCCTGCAAAATGCGGTTGCCTTGTTACGGAAAAGGCATAATCACCCAGCCCTGGTCATTGTTCGTCAGCTTATCCACGAGTTCCAGCACTAGAAACACAGCAGTACCAAAATACGCCCATGAAAGTTAGACATAATTCAAGTACATTTGTACTAGTAATTAGCCTCTACCAGGCGTCTAGAGGCGGCTGGAAAGATTAGAAATTGGCCAAATAGAGAGAGAACATGCCAGAAGAGTTGGTCCGCTAAAAAGTGCAGTGTTTGAGCGGCAAAGTCCAGCGAACCAACTCCATTGGCATGCTCTCTCTCTCTGTTTGGCCAATTTCTACTCTTTCCAGCCGCCTCTCGAGGTAGAGGCTACCAAGTAAAGAGATACACGAGATAACTGTTACGCAAGCAGTTGGATAGATCAAATAAGTATTTCCTCTGACCTTTGAGTGTTAGTTTCATCCGTGTTTCCCAGGTGTCCTCGTAGTAATATCTCAGAGGTGACCCGCTGTGTTCGAAAACCGCCATCCGGCCGCATGCCCCGAGGAATGACGGGAAGGGCCACCCCTGGTTGTAGTGGAACACCTGCAAAAGGAGATGACCTTTGTCTTTTAAAAATAGAAAGTCAGACAAATATCTAAAAAAAAAGCTTTGAAAAACGTCCGGAAACATGACTATCCTGCGTGGAGACCACGTAAACAATTTTATCAGGTTAGTGAATGATTGAATAGTACAGTACTTAATTCACAACCACTTGTTCAACAAGAGCTGACGTTTCGATGAACTGAATACATCAGTGCACAGTGAACCAGTCATAATTGCCCTGATGAAGATGACAGACGGTCATCAAAACGTGTAAACATGAATAAAAAAATACTATTCTTGATCTTGTTCTTCTTGATCTTGTTTGGGTACTGCACAACACCCCTAAATTGGGGTAAAGCGTGCAGGGGAGCTGTGCGATGCGCTATTGCTGCGTCCTCAGGTGTTGTAGTACTGCAGCGTTGAACTTCGTGGGTTCCGCAGTATCTGTTATTTCTTGAGGCAAAGTGTTCCAGTATTTATCTGCTTTGACAGCTTTTACCAACTTCTACTGACCTGAAAGATGATCGGTTCGGGGTTCAGGAGGAAGGTTGTGAGAAGTTTGGCTGACTCGTTCGTGGACAGGACGTTGTCCTTGTCGATGTCGTAGGCCGATTTCGCCTGTTGTAGGAACCTCTCAGACAGACAGCGAAGTATGCTACAGCAAGAGACGAACGTTTGGAAACAAAGACAATGCTGTAATTAAATCTTATTCATCAGTTTAAAATTATGAATTGAACAATGTTGAAACAGCTGAAGTTTAAAAGTAACCATTCGCTGTTGTTTTAATCAATGACAATTAACGACTTCACTGAAATTTTTGTTGAAAAGTTAACTATTCGCTGCACTGTTTTTCTTTTCATTGACAACGACTGAATGATTGTAAAAGGTTTCTATTTCTATTTAAGTCGAACAGATAAGGTCTTATTGATTTGTTGTTATGGTTACCTATATTCCTCCTCTTCGTTTGGATCCATCTCCGCCGCAAACTCCCGTAACCTAGCAACGCTCAGGTCCTGTTTCAGCAGCTCCACAATGGCGCCATTGACGTCACAGCTGTCCCCTTCCAGCAGACTGTCCTTCCCCTGACACGCGAACTGGTGGAACTTCCCGTATCTCTCTGCTTCTACTAACAACTTTCCGACAATCGGTTCTTTGTTCGCAGCCTTCAGGCCGAAATATACTCCGTTTTGAGCAAGAGGCGACGTCCGGCCGGCGTTCGGAAACTGGAACTTTTTGTCGAAATCCTTACAGAGAGAATCGCCGAAACACGCAGGGCAGTAGAAGTCTCCGAGGAAGTGTTTGACGTTCGAACTCGGATAAGCAAACTCGTATTCCAACGCGTCCACCAAACTGACGACTCTGTTGTGAGGGTGGACCGGGATTTCGTTGTCGTCTGACAACAAAGTGGCGGGAGTTTCTACCTCCTTCCGCCGTCCGATGTCCTTGTGGTGGAGTTTCGAATTTCCCGCCGCCATGTTGTCGTAGTCCGCCATCTTGGCGGGTCCCATAAGGTCACGGCTGGAGAAAGGACCTTGCGGTTTCGCGCCACGCGGTCTGTTGGCGGATTGATTTCTTTCATAGTGGTTATAAACGGTGAAGAGGATCAGAAAGGAGAGGCAGGCGACGACGCACAACCGCTTGTGCCCTGAGACGACCCTTTGCACGCGGTCCCATCGGAAGAAAATAGTCCTCATCGCAAAGGCCGGAGTTTCATGACGTTCTAATATCACTACAGGTGAGGTCGCACGTCACACACCCGGATGTAATACGTCATACGTTCTGAAACAAGATGGTCGAAGCTTAAGTAAATAAATAAATATATCAATAAATAAATAAACAAATAAAATAATGTTACCCACATACAGTTTTCGTAGTTGTCAATAAACATCAAAGGCAGTACAATGTATCTACACTTGCAATCGTAGTATCTACACAAATGCCTCCGCCCCTACGGCGTCGCCAAAAAGTACAGCATTTGTACTGTTGAAAATCCTGGCCCTCCATAATACGAACAAGAAGTAATTACGAAGAGAAAACGTTATATATCATCAACAGCGTTAAGAAACAAATAAAATGCTCGTTTGAAGCAAAATTCGACGACTTTTCAACTTTTTTTCGCCGCGAAAAAAAACTTTCCGCCCTCGAAAAGGATGACGGGATTTAGTATGACGTCATTGGCCGCCATCTTTAAATCTCCGACGAGAAAGAAGAAGTCGGCACTAAAAATACGCTCCGAAGAATCGACAAAAAAAGGTAAATTTCCCTGATATTTCTGCCTGACAACTCGACTATATGATCAGTAAAGGTGATGATGAAGTTGTATAACAAGAAAATTGGTGTGTTTTAAGATTTCTGCGGCAAAAAATGACGTTTTTGAGGGGTTTGGAGCGCGACAAAATTTATTTGCGCGGGAAGTCCCCAAACCGCCCCCGCCGCCCAGTGGAGTGAGTCATATATTTTTGTGGCCTTCTCGTTTTTCAGGAACCTTGTCTGTTTTTAATGTCACCTTTGTGATAATTCACTAGCTTTGTAGCTAACAACATGCGCACAATTTAAGGTAAGTAAGGTAGGGAAGTTAATTTGACCGGAGAAAATTTGGATTCTTCGCGTCATGATTTTTGGGATGGCACAAGTGGAGCATGGAGTGAGTTGAAGGTGGAACTCTATTAAACTTGTACCATATACTTCCTTGGTTTTACGAATTTGAGAACATATAGAAGGTCTAGATTTAGCAAATATAACCAGTTCTCCTCACCAGATTACTTATTTAGTTAAATTACGTTGGCGAAAGAATCGTGAAATTTTAATAGTTCAGAACGAAACAGACGTGGACACCAAATGCCCTGCCCCTTATAACGTTAGATGTAATAGTCATATCCTCCTCATTTCCAATAGCATAAATCTAAAGAAAAGATTGAAGACCTTTTCTAGAACCATCTAGAGTGTGAAGTCAACTGTTTTGGCACAGATATAATTTCTCCTCCCCCCTGGATAGTACAGGAAACACTGTGTATTTACTGCGATGTGGGTTGGGCTTTAACTCCCCGGGGATGTTTACTTTGGTGGATATTAAGGACACTTCCTTTGAAGTAAGGATGAAGTGAGTCATGTAAAACCAGACGTTTGTGGGCAGGGTTTAATGTCACAAGGAACATCTTGTCTGATCTTGGATTTTAGCCTCAGTGAAGCAAAGTGGCCACTTTTGTGAGGTTTGTGGTACAATTTTGTCTTGTTAATTAAGACTGTCTCGTTAAGACTATCCATGTTTTAATCCCTAGCAGTTCAGAAAAAATGTGAAATTGTCAGGATAAAATCCTAAGTGAAGGAAAGTGGCCACGTTTGTGAGGTTTGTACAGTTTTGTCTTGTTAATGTAGTTCATTTTTTGTTTGTTTGTTTCTACAGATAATTGATCCTTTGAAGTTTTGAGTTTGAATTGAAAGAGTTGTGAAGAAAAGGTTGCTCTGCCTGTACAAGACAGACCACCATGGCTGAAGTCAGCGTAGAGAACAGTGCAATGTTACCCAAGGTGGAGTTAGACTCCTCTCTGACTGGTGATGACATCCTAGCCTTGGCTACAGCATGCTATGGTAAGAATTAACCCATTTCAAATTTCATACTATATGTATTCTTGTTCTGTTGCCATCCTCATTCTTTCATGTAAAAGAAAAAATGGCAATGGTTTCAACAGTTTTTAGTATGATCCATCTTTCCTAAAATGCTGAATACTGTGGGTAGAATTTGCGTGGTGCAGGTACTAGTACTTCTCAAAGTTAACTGCACCAGTACAGGTACATGTATGCAGGAAATTAGTTTGAGCCCTGGTATACAAATGATATAATTATGTACATGTATACAAATGATATGATTATGTGCATGTATACAAATAATACAATTGTTCTGAACATGTCCCACACATTTCAGAAAGAGAAGGTTCCTGTTCGACAACTGACAGTCCTTCCGCTTGGCCTGAGGCTGCCCCTGTCGGAGGTACCCAGTACTCAGCTAACTTCTCAGTCATGGACATGAAGAACATCTGGGGAGGGGGAGGGGAGCAGGCCTCGGCTGCTGGACCACTGTTCTTTGGACTTGTTCCTGGGACAAACTGCTCTAATGGTGGGTTCTATATGTCAGATGGTATGACAGGTTGAATAAAAGTTGTAAACGAGAACTATGCGGCTCCAGAGGTCTTACTGAGGGATGACTGCGTGTGCGAGATGTCGGTTAGCTTGAGGAATGAATCCCCTCTTCTATGTAACTCAAATGGTATGTTTTAAATGTCAGATGGTGTGTTTTAAATGGATAATATCTAATTGTCTTAAGATGTTTTTTTAATCCAGCTTTCTTACATTGGACAGAAAAATATTTCATTTTCATGTTCATGACTATGCATGTTTTCTTTCATGAAATGATATTTTGTTGAAATCTGAGGAAGAAAAGAGAAACAAGTTTTTTTCAGTCAGTTTACTAATCATCTGAATGTATTATTTCCTACCTCAATGACCTAATGTTTTCTCAAGTTAGTCATGGCATTAAAAGAGTAACTCGGCAAACACAGTGAATCAGAAAACCTACAAGGAAGTGTAAAATTCTTTGGGATGTTTATGTTTTGCAAGAAAGGAAGTTACACGAAAGGTTTGCTTTTGCACAAGAGCCCCCTTGCAAAAGTAAAACGAACTGCAAGCCTCTCTGCATGCAGCATTGGTACGACCAAATCAATACTTGAAGTACATGTAGTCACTAGATATAGCATTAATTTTAAAAAAAGTCTGCAGTTAGATGTGCAAAGGTTGCGTGTAACATGTCGTTCGGTGTAATATATATTTGTAGCTAGCTGCCACTGCGCTGTGTGCCTACAAAGCTGGTGTGTTACACCGAAGGGTGGTTATACCTGCTACTAGTATACAGATACAGATGGTCTTCTACTTTAATACGTAATTGTAGACCCAAAGTTTTCGATATGAGTCGAATCAATTTATTAGCCTGTATAAAATGGCTTAAAGCCAGGACTGGCCAACTATCCAGAGCTAGCATTGGAACTGGACAATATTATAATATTATAATATATAAAATTTCTTCTTTTATCTTCCCACAGACCTGCCATCTGATACCCAGGCTGAAAGTGCCCACCTGGCTGGAGACTGGCCTTCCTCCATCCCACAGAGCATTTCCCCCATCCCCCACCAGGGCAATGTGGTCAATACCTCACCCCCCTCTACCAGCCCACAGGCCCCTGTACCCACACGTACTGACTCACAACAACTCGAGTCACCCACAGGTACTACTTCTTTTTGGTGGTCCTATAGATAATTTTTTCCCTGGTGTATAGTGAGGAAGCATATACATGTACTCTCCAAGCAGAGGTAGGGTTGCTCGGTATTTTGGCAGTATTTTCGCGTTTTTAATACGTCTTTCTACTTTTACGGTTTTTCTCTGAGGAAGACCAGAGAAAAACAGTAAAAGTAGAAAGACGTATTAAAAACGCGAAAATACTGCCAAAATACCGAGCGACCCTACCTCTGCTTGGAGAGTATATACATGTACATGTCGAAGAAAACTAATACATATCTAAGGGTAAAGAAAGTAGCAATTTCTTCATGACGAATGTATTACAGGATCCAAACCAATATGCTAGAAATTGATGCAACTAAAATATCACAGGCTTTTAGGGTTTCTTTTTACACAGCTGGTATAGACTCTCACCTACTTACATGTACATTTCGATGTGTATCAAACACCATCCTCATAGCTTCTGACTAAAGCACTGCTTTTCGCTATAAGTAGCCGATGTAGGTAGGCGGCAAGAAGCAGTACTCCAGTCAGGAACTCTAAGGAAGTTGTCTAAAAGACATTAAAACGATGTAAGCAAGTGAGTCTATACTGGTTTTGTAAAAGAACATCTAATGTACTTGACCAACCAGATGAAACTATTTTCGGAATATTCCAGGCATCGTCCAACAAACGAACTACAGCTTCAACATCGCGACCTCCAACCTCAACATCACCAACATGCAGTCTCAGCAAGTCTCCGGAGGAAGCAAGCTGTCCCCCAACGCTTCAGCCTTCAACACTGCAGTGGCGCCCCCTAGCTACAGTATGGCAAAGTGCAGCAGCCAGCCTATGGTGAAGAGTCAGGGCAGTGCCGGATGGCAGCAGCAGAAACCACACGGCCCACCCCCCTACTCAAGGTACGTACTAGGTACTCCATTGGTTAGCGACCCCACCTAAGGACCAAGAGTTTGGCGGTTGGGAGTTCGAATCCCGGCTGTTGTCATATATGGTAGGATGGCAGCAGCAGAAACCACACGGCCCACCCCCCTACTCAAGGTACTTCTTGTAGTGTGTGTAGTCCAGTGGTTAGTGACTCGCCTCTGCACCAAGAGTTTGGGAGTTCGAATCCCGGCTGTTGTCATATATGGTAGGATGGCAGCAGCAGAAACCACACGGCCCACCTGCCTACTCAAGGTACATGTACTTATGGTAGCGTGTGCAGTACTGTGGTTAGCGACTCTGCCTCTGGACCAAGAGTTTGGGAGTTCGAATCCCGGCTGTTGTCATATATGGTAGGATGGCAGCAGCAGAAACCACACGGCCCACCTTCCTACTCCAGGTACTTTCGGTAGTGTGTGTAGTCCAGACTCGCCTCTGCACCAAGAGTTTGGGAGTTTGAATCCTCCCATCTGTTATCATATATGGTAGGATGGCAGCAGCAGAAGTTGCATGGCCCACCCCCCTACTCCAGGTACTTTCGGTAGTGTGTCTAGTCCAGTGGTTAGTGACTCGCCTCTGGACAACGTTGGGAGTTTGATCCCTGGCTGTTGTGGTATGGTAGTGTGCGTAGTCCAGTGGTTAGCAACCCTGCCTCTGAACCAAGTCAAGTGGTTGGGAGTTTGAATCCCGATATGCATGCTACTGGAAAGGGTTGCAGTCCTTAATTATGATGGGACGTTAAGCTGTGGTCCATTGCACTTGGTGAAAACAGCTAGGGGAATGTCCCCGGTACAATGAACCTGTAAATATTGTACATAGCATCTTTCACAACCAGTGGGAGATGAGCTCTTTAGTGACCTGAAACTGAATTGAGATCACTTTCTTTTCCTTTTTTCCATCAATGTAATCCTTATGTTGTCAGAATTCGTCAGGAACTGTATATTCCAGGTGAAAGTGACTGTATGGCATTGGGTGCTTTAGTAGTTTGTATGACAGCTTTGTGGATAATGCATATTTCATCTTCCTTGATTTGATTTAATTTGATTTTTTTTTTATTTATTGAAATTGCAACAGTGCAATACACGCGGAACAGAGGCAGCTGTTGCTGGTGGTGTGTCCCGCACATAGAAACAAATACTGGTCAGACAACACTCAAGTCTAGTGGGGAAAGTCGTGTAAAATGCCTTTCCCAAGGGCACAAGATCGGTGGCATGTCAGGACTCGAACCCGGGACCTCTTAATTCCGAGTCGCGCACTCTGCTGTTGCGCCACACGACCCCACATCTTCCTTGTCTTTTCCCAGGTCCCGTCCGCCCACAGTGAGCCACCATGGAGCCCAGTACCAGCTGGAGCCCAACGCTCGCAACGTGCCCAACGGAACCGGCCACCAGCAGTTTAACGTGAACCTCAGCGGCTACGGACGCTCTCAGAACATGCCTTCCAGTCGCCACGGCAACTCGCCCTACCTCCAGCCCCCTGGCGAGGGCGGGCAGTACTCCAAGACGATCCGTCCTCCGAAGCGCGTTTCGCCGAACAGCCGCCCGTACTACCCCCTACAGCCGCAGTATAACACCCAGAGCACCATCCACTATGGCAACACCGCGCCGCCCAGCCACTCCAACTACCCTCCCAACGTCTTTCCCTTCTCAAACGTAGGTTCCTAGTTATAATTGTGTATCAACACAGGTATTTCTAAGAACTGTAGGAACTATAGGAAGAAATAGTTTGTGTTTACATGTATAAACCTGCATTTCTCCTGCAAGTCTTTAGTGTCACTGAAGAAAGGTAGTGGATGCTACATGAAATGTCCGACTGTTTCTAAAATCATATCCAGTTTACTGTTGCTTGAATAAGTGTTTTTTGTCGTGGCTGTCAAGGGTCTATGACCTGATTAAGACATGAAATTATTGAAAAATATTGTGTAAAAAATGCCAGCAGAACGAGGGTTAATAAATAAATTATTTCTCCTCCTTTTTGCAGGGCTATCACAACAACTCTGCTCCCCCCAGCAGCTTTCCTTCCACATCCCAGCCACCCTTCAAGCGGCTACGTGGCGGGGAGGTCCCGTATCTGCGAGTGAACACCAACACCCCCAACTCCAGCCCTTCCAGCAACCCAAACACCCCACCGTACCGATCGGCAGCGGCGATCTCGCCTGTCATGGCGGCTAAGGAAGCCCCCGCGCCCGTCTGCATGTCACTTAAGATCGTAGAGAAGATCGTGGTGGAAGGATCGTACGCCTTCAAGTCTCATGCCATCTTCCCGCTCCTGCGAGACCTTTTCATCACATGGAGGGACTGTGACAAGGTGACTATAATTTGAAGACCTTGTTTCTAATTAATAAATGTTTATTCCTTCCCTAAGAATACTGACATTCCTCTATGAGACATCACGTGGCCAGAAGGAGCCGTGAAAACGAGCTTATTGACATTCTTGATAGAAATTTTAGCTCTTTATATCTGTTGATCAGACTTTCGGAATTATTCTAATTTACATTTAAAGTAATTATACTTAGTAGTTTTATCAACTGTATTACCAGCCAGCCTTCAACCTCATTATGTTGATTGGAATGATGTAAAGGAGCATGCAATTCAGGCTGCAAGATGCTCTTGTTTGTACACCGATAAACCATTCATTCATTCATTCATCCATCCATCCATCCATCCATCCATCCATCCATCCATCCATCCATCCATCCATCCATCCATCCATCCATCCATCCATCCATCCATCCATCCATCCATCCATCCATCCATCCATCCATCCATTTATTCCAATATTTCCAGATGGCTGTGCCGACTGCCCTGTTCTCAGCCCTGCCACAAGACTTTGACACCCTCCTGCAGAACTTCCTGAAGTCCCACCCTCCCCCTGTAGTCACGGTAACAGACGCTGCAGACCTCACCCCTGCAGTGGAGAGGGTCATCCATGACGCAGCCAGGTCAGTAACTATCACTCTCCAAGCAGAGGTTTGTGGGGAAGATTGTAACATGTCTATATATGCCCTGTTTTTTTACACGTATAGAAAGGTAACAGATCTAGACTTGACCACCAATCTCTGCTTGGAGAGTTAGTAACTACAAGCACATCAGCAAAATGTACTGTGCCTGCCTGGAACCCAGATACAGAAGCTGGACCAGGTGTGTTATGCCATTCAAGAGCAGTCATACCAGTTATATACATGTAGATACAGATACAGAAGCTAGTGTTTTACGCCAAAGGGCAGTTATACCAGCTATACAGATACAGAAGCTGGTGTGTTACGCCAAAGGGCAGTTATACCAGCTATACAGAAACAGATACAGAGGCTGGTGTGTTATGCCAAAGGGCTGCGTGAGTTATACCAGCTATACAGAAACAGCTACAGAAGCTGGTGTGTTATGCCAAAGGGCAGTCATACCAACCATACAGATAACAGGTACAGAAAAGCAGTACAGCAGTGCTTTATTGACCACTGCCTCACCTGTAGCTTGCATGTCATGAAGACAGCTGCCCGATATTTATGGGAAGAGCGCCAGGAAAAGTTTGGCAAAGTCTGGCTAAACCTTCTCCCAACCCATTTCCTTTTAATTAAACTGTCTGGTTGGGAAGCGAAACAGCTGCAGAAACTGGCACCCTGACAAGGTAGGATCGTACATGCGTGACTCGCCGTACGTAAACATGCAGCAAAGTCAGGACATTTCTTCGAATTTGGTCTCCTCAAGTGACAGGAGACCTTTCTGGACAAAATCAGGCACGAACTTCATCAAACTTGGTTGAGATTTGGCAGAGGAAAGTGGTAATGGCTATCAGCGATGCCAACGTGTCTAACATTTAATCGTTAAACTTTAAAGGAGTCCAGCCTAGTTGGAAGTGTTCTTGAAATATGGAGTGTGCATGTCAGCTGCATGTAAATACTGGTACGGTTTGCAATGGAAAAATTTAGGCAGCATGTTGGATTTACCTTACATGTACTTATACTTTCATGTTATAAAACTAGGTGGCCATGTATCGTTGTAAGAAAAATATGAATCGGCTACCATTGAATACGGGGCAAACTATATCTATCTCTCTACCTTAGTCCATCAATCTACACAGTATCCATCTGTCATTTATCTCTCTTTCTCTCTCTCTTTCTCTCATATGATTATAAGTGTGTATGTGTGTGTATATATTTACTTAGATCTCAAGTCAAGATCACCTGAATTTGCAAGGATTCCATCATTTCTGCCATATTTAAAAGTAAAGGCGATGGCTTGATTACTGTAATTCACTTTATGTTCACGGTAGCAAAAGTTTACAGTCTGAGAAAAATGGACATGGTCACGGAACTATATATCCACTATTAAAACAGGTGCAGGAAAGAGAAAATCCAGGAATTATTTGTTAACTGTAATGATAAGTTTACAGTACAGAAGTGACAGTGAAAACAGTGAACATAACAGTACCAGGAAAAAATAAGGAATTACAGTACTTGTCTGCATATACCTACAGGTGTGCCCATAAAGCCTTGCTCCAGAAGCTTACCAGACGCCCCCCCTCGGCGACTGTCAGCCCCCTGGGCCACCCGCCTGCCCCCCTCCCCACCACCCGGGTGCACCAGGCACCCCCTGCCAGACAGGAGGAGGTCTACACCGCCATACAGGAGTTCTGTGACAGGTGCCAATCATTCTCATCAAGCTTCATCAGTTAGATCAATGTATCATAAAGTTTACAGTTATATGCGCAAACGTTAGGTGTAATGACTTTCTCAGTCTTCAAGTTAGACCGTAGTTACCTAATTATAAGGGACGATGTTGTCAGATGTTACAAAACTTTTTTCCTAGAACTATAATTATAGCATGGAACTCCCTGCCAGCAAGAATAGAACTAGAAGGGGCATCAATAGTAGATAGCTTAAAACCATGCTTACATTTAGATGTGCAAAGGATTATCTAAAGTGTAAGAGTTCGAAGTCGCAGAGTCAGCAGCACTCTTTCTGTCATTTGATGGAATTTTGACACTTATGATGGACAAAAATTTTGCCCAATCCGTCATATTTGATGGACAAAAATATAATATTAAGATATTAAGATATGATCATTGCTTGATCTATGAGCAAAATTGTCCTCAAAATACAGTTAACAGCATTTCAGAGGGTCAAGATTTCAAATTTTGAGGCGCTTGACATGATGTTACATAATACTTCAAGCAAACTTGAGATGACGGAAAAATTTTTAGGCTGGTTAGAAAACTACTCAGTCTGCAAGTTATATCAGTGTATTGTAGTTTAATCAGACATTTCAATGCAGTATCATCTAACTATAACAATTATGATGAGTAGTTTGAAATGCTCATTTTCCTGGATATTCATGTAGAAAGAACATACATTTTCTACACAGCAATAAAACATGCATATTTGTGTTGAACTTGCACACATGTAGGTTTGAGAAGGCGACCAAAGAACAGCAACTGAGTCCGGTGACGTCATCAGGAATACAGGAGATGGAACCGTCACCGATCGCTCTGGTTAGAACTCACTGTTTTACAATCCAAAATTCTAAAAAGTAAAGCAGTCATCTGAGGCAAAGCATAATGCTTTTTCAAGGATCTTATATAGTTATAGTGTTCTGCAAGACAGCTTCCATATACATGTAGCTTGCATTTTATAGTTCTTCTACATTCTAGTAACTGCAAAGCAGTTCTTAGAAAGTTTAATGTCATTTTGTAAGATTTTGAACGGCAAACTCTGGAGTCATACAGTGGAAAATTTGGATAAGTCAATTTCTTTCCTGTGTTGGAAATTACGGTTTAAACTTGCTTCATAATGAACACGAGTACCATGATCATCAAATGCCTACAACCAACAGTAAAAGACAACCGTGCCCTCTGCTGCATTCCCAGGTTAACAGCCCAGCCGACCTGGGAGACACCAGCGGCCTACCGGAGCCAGAGAGCTGCTCGGCTGGAGGTGGAGGGCAGTGAGGTGAGTGTGTGGCACTTAGCTCAACAGTACTGACAACAGACACGTGCTTATGTGTGTAGAAAGGGTGCTGGGCACTGCGGAGTGAGTCCTTACACCTGGCAATGGAGAGTCGTTTTCTACCTTCTCATTCTTTCTTGTGAAATCTCTCGATCACTCGATATCTTTAGATCTGTGCTATACATTTATATATATATTATATATGTGAAATCATTACCTTTCTAATTTGCCAAGGGTATGTTTTTGGTAGTGTTTGTGTTTGTGTGTGTGTGTGTGTGTGTGTGTGTGCGTGTGTGTGTGTGTGTGCGCACGCATGTGTGTGTGTGTGTGTGTGTGTTTGTGTGTGTTTGTGTGTGTGTGTGTGTGTGTGTGTGTATTCTTCACAAAACTTGGTATATTATCATACTGTAATTCACGTCCAAGGTGTGCGTGTGTGTGTGTATTCTTCACAAAACTTTGCATATAATTATAAACTAATTACATATAGGAAATACACACTGTACTTTTCTTTAAGTCCAAGGTGGCCCCACCCATCACTTAAACTTGGTCCTTGCAATTCAGCCCTTGGCTGCAAAAAGAGAGTCTGTGGCCCACCTAATAATAATCTTCCAGGGATGATTTCCAGGTTTTGTTTATGCGCCCTGCTGTACGTGTTGTCCACTTACAGATAAGCCTTATCTTTCCCCTCCTTCTTTTCCTAAATATAAGTTCAGGCTGCTTTGACCCTAGATTGACCTAGAAGATAGTCTATCTACCATGGACAGTACCTAAAAGCACCCTTGGGGTTAATTAAGTTTACTACTGGATCAATGATGTCCATGTTATCTTGAAAGTTCATCTGTGTCAGTAGAAGTCATAGTATGAAGCAAGTTTGAACTGTAAATTTGAGACACAAAACATTGGATTTACAGACATTTTTGACTGTACAACTCCAGTCTTTGTCATTGAATGAGCAATCCATTCAAATTTGGTTGAGTTCAATTTCTCCTGTTGGAAATTACAGTTAAAATGTGCTTCGTAATCACAAGCTTCGTAGTTTGATTTAAGTTAAAATGAATGTGTAAGTCATTTGGTATGTTTGATAAATTCTCTTTTTGAAGGCTTCTGATTTTTTGGCAGCCCTTTGAATTCAGTGTGGGAACCTGGAGAGCATTTCTAGGATTAAGTCGAAGACTTTAACATATGTGGAACACTGTTTTTACTGGAAGTGTTCCAGTGCCCTGGAGCCTATACATGTATTGAATCAAACAGCATGTTTCTACATGTGGTGCGCAGACACGGCGTATGACAACTTATATTCCATTTCAGGACTCGAAATACTTTTTTCTGCATACCTGCACTGGTGCAGGTAATATGGGAAATTACAATGTACTAGTATCTTACCTATACCAGACAAATTTTACCAGCATTTAATAACAGTATAATAACATATAATAACAGTAGTCACTACCTAATACTAGTAATAGCAAACTGATATCTGTATGTGCTTGTCAAAAACCAATTCAGCCCACAAGCCAATTGGTTAATATTTGAGAGGCCTATAAGGTAAGATCCGGGTGATTATTGTTCACAGGGCTTAGCTACGATGGGGGTAGTGGAAAAAACAAGCTTGACCTTCAAGTTTGACCTTCAGGGTCACAGTCATGGACATATATTGCAAGATTTTCCAACTCTTTTTAACGTACCTAACTGACTATCTTATACATGTAGTATAATTCCAGGATTCACCAGAGCAGCAGAAAAAAAGGAACAAATTTGATAGATTGAACAAAAAATATTGTTCCTATAGAGTATAATTTTCTTGTTGGTCCCAAATTATGTCATGCAAAATATTATACTTCTTACCTGTATTGTACGTAAAATGTAGTTCGGGTATGAGAGAGAATAAGAGAGAGAGATGGTATGCAGGGTTCTAGCTAGGATTTAATTTTAGCGTAGTGGCACTGGCCGCATGATGAGGAAGCAAAGCGGAGCTCTTAAAAATTTGAGCTTAAAAAGAGGCCATTTAATTTGAGGGATACCCAAAGGGAAAAAATGTTATTTCTAAGATATGTACAATGTATCCTTGATTTTTCACATTTGATCTGGCATTCCTGAACAAAGAAATAGTCACAATGCCCCTATGCTGTATTAGAAATTAGCATAGGGGGGAAATTTAGTGTAGGGGGTCAAAATTATAGCGTAGGGGGGAAAATTTAGCGTAGGGGGTCAAAATTATAGCGCAGGGGGCCCCTACGCTACTTTGCACTAGCTAGAACGCTGGTATGTTTTTAGAGTAGATTAAGCCCTTAATCTGAGTTCAACACTACTTTTCCCAGGCCTAACAGCTTGCAAACTCATGATCCAGTTGTTTCCACCCTTCAACAAGTGTCAATCAGACTCCAGCAAGTTAAATAGCCTCTCCAGCCACTGCTGTTCAGGCAATCATACATGCTCAAGGGTAGAGAACTGATACCACCACCACCCACAGAACACTTCACATGACAACCCTGGCAAAGTGGGACTCGGCTAAATGTTCTAGCACACTGTTGGCACTGCATTTACATGTACATGTACCGGTATACTACATGTAGTATAGCTAGCTATTGGCACAGTATTTACATGTACTGGTATATAGCTAGCTAGTTTCTTTGATTCCTGTATAAAAATTCATCCATCCATCCATAAAAATCATTTCAACAATAGTATTTTTGTAGAAATTGTCGTCATTTCAAAGGTAGGACTGAGACTAACTTACTAGAAATGTGGAATTTCTTACAGTTAGACCTAAAAGGTAAGTAAACAACATAGTACAGTATAGTATGTTAAATGTGTGAACCTTGCACCATATGTTAGTATGTACAGTATATGCTAAACATGTCTTCCTCCATACCTATGCACAATGTTATCACTTCATGCCATCGGCGCATAGTCTAAGTTGAATCACAGTGTACATGAACGTGCCTACCTCAAAAACAGTATAAGCTGAAGAGATAGACACTTCAAGCTTCTATAAGGATGGTTTAAGCCTACCTCTAATACAGGAATTCCTTCCCTGGAAAGAAAAGCGAGGGCCTGTAGTACCCCGCTGATGTTGGATCCCGTGGTATTCACACAGGGATAAGTCACATGGCAACTTGACCATGGCTCTGATCAGGGCCAACCCAAAGCTTTTACATGGTTCATGGTTCCAGTGCAGGAAATGGTGCAGTGGCCAAGTGGGTTGAGTGATTGTCTTGCATTCAGTAGGTCGTGAGTTTGATCCCCGGCTGAGTTATACCAAAGACTTTCAAAAAATGGTACATACTGCTTTCTCTGCATAGCACATAGCATTTGAAAAAGAGTATGGGAGTTGAACACACACCACTACCAGTGGACTACAATATTGTGTATGGAGGGGAAATAATTGAGATGTCCATGCGCAATGTATATACACTTTGTTGTTGTCCGCCTTTTGAAAAAGGACAAGCAAGCCAACTGCCATGAGTTGTTCTGTGTGAAAATGCTCTTGTATGTGATCTGACCCATAGAACAAAATCTCCCTGCCCTGTTGCCTTGTCCCTTCTTTATTAAGCCCTGCTCTCATAAGTCAGAATAGCCATGAACCATTTTCTGAGGTCCACAAATCTCTGGCACAGTTTGGATATGTGGGTTTCATCTGGGAATAGGCCAGCTGAGGACGCCAATGCAATTATCCTTAGTGACAAACGCTTTCTTGGAAATGGACCAATATCCAAAACGAAATACCACTTACTATATAGATACAGTAGACAGACAGACTGGATTTGAAGTTGCCAAAGGAAAAGACATAAAACCTGAATTTCCTGAGCAGAAGTGTTGTTTGCCTACTGCTGGAGTGTCAGCCTTTGTAGCTTTCGTCCGGTAGCGGATTGTGGGGAGCGGACGGAAGCTAGAAAGGCTGACACTCGGGCTATTGTTAGCCAGGAAATGTCATTGGATGTACAATGTAAACATATAGAAGAAAATTATACTTAAAAGGGGGCCCGCATGCCCTTTTCCGTAGAGCGTAATCGGCCGTTTTAATTCTATGTAATGCGTTGAGGCCACTTGGAATTTATGGCAAAGTGTTATCGAGAGGTTTCCGAATTCAGCGTACAGCGTTGTCAGGACCCCCCCCCCCATGCAGGCCCTCTTTAAAAGTACACAACACAAGAACCCCATGTTTTATTTCCTAAATTGTGGTTAATGTTAGTTTAGTCTACACTTTGCTAGAAACTGTTACAAGTCTTATTGCAGGAAGAAAAGTAAACTTTTTTTCTCCAAGACTTGTAGAGGCATAGATAATTGAGACATTTTCCACAAGATGGACTCCAGGTTTATCCATCAATCATGATAAACAGGACAACATGTGGACAATAGCTGTCAGCAGCTCCTGAAGTCATTAATCAAAAGACTTTACTGCAACATAGACAAGTTTGTCAAGCAACAGATAAAATGTGTATCATTTGAAATGCAAGAGTTGTAGAAATAGTGCTTATTTACAGGATGGTAAAACTTGTTTGTGAACAGCCAAAACTATCTTGTACTGTAAATCATGATTCTTTCGCAGTACTTTAATATTCACGATTTTTGCAGTTATTTCTGTGAATTTATCATTACTGTGAAGGGGATAATTTGCCAACTTTCTGTCTTCTACACCTGCCGCCATTGCGAACATACACTGATGATGCAGTTCAGTGAACATGTCACTGAAAGAAGAAGTTAAACTGGTACTCACGACAAAATTTCGGCTCAGAGAAGCTTCAGTGAACATGTCCTGTTTTCATCAGACTGCAAAATTTTGCTGCTGCAAATATAATTATAAAGTGACTTACAGTATCTTGTATTTATGGATTTCTTTTGCCTTTAAAAGGAAATGTTTTTCTGAGGTAGGTAGATTCAGACCCTGACCTTTGAATTTCGCATTACAAAAACTTCCCTCATGTACAGACCCCCATCTCTCCCTCCTGATTTAACAGTCTTCATTACCAACTTTCAGATGTGCCTGCACAAACACCCACCCA